CTCTCTCTCTCTCTCTCTCTCTCTCTCTCTCTCTCTCTCTCTCTCTCTCTCTCTCCCTCCCTCTGTGTGTGTGTGTGTGCGTGTGTGTGTGTGTGTGTGTGTGTGTGCGTTGTCATGTTCGCCATACACGAGTCCACAAAGGAAAAAACATCAGGAGGTGCGTGCCAGACTGTTTCGTCGGACTTTCGCCAACTCATCAGGAGGTGTGTGTGTTTCAAATAATCACCAGCAACCTGGATTTCACCCAGAAGCAAGAAAATAGTAATTGAAATGGTAATCAAAACTGTGTTCTTGGACATTCTTCACTGTCAAGAACCCACTCATAAGTATGTGTGCACATGCACACACACATGCATGTTGTTCAAAAAAAAAAAAAACTAACCAGAGCCTCTTCTCAAAAGATGGGAAGACACTAAACAAACTGCACAATTCCCCATGTCTGTGTCCATCCACGCGTTCACCCGCCTCGCACACATTGCTGCACCGCAAAGACGCATCATCGATGGGCCAACTACACAGGCCCAGCACCCATTCATGGCTATGAATCCATCGCGACACCAGAAACCCCAGTCCATTGTTGCCCTTGCGCAGCACCTCATGGGATAAGAACCTCGGCCGCACAGAGTCTCTTAGGACATACCCACACTAGGACTTTTTCACTTATTTCCGGACATAATTGCGGCCAGATACGTCCAGGTCCGGCCGCAAATGCGGTCAGATACGTTGAAGATAGTGCTATTGCGAGTACGCCCTTAGTATGCCAACAAATACATCATGACAGGAGACAATAATGCCTTGGATCCCTCTTCGGACACAAAAGAAGCCCTACTGCCAAAGCACCCCAGCGAATCGTACAAACCCATATGCTCCAAAACACAACCCAACCTGCAAGAATCTCACCCACAGTGCACACACTCCCTCAGACTGTGTGCGCATTATCACAATGAATCCAGAGGCAAAACCAACCTCAATCCATCACAACATATATAGACAATAGTAATCACAGTGCAAGGCTGACTATGCCTCTGTAGTTGAGCTCACTGTGCACACAGACCCATCCTCGAGGAGCCAATTCAGCCGTAGGTTCGCCTACGGCTTAAAGCGCACTCGCCATAACCAAAAACGATCGAACAGCCCTCGAACAACTTTCACCTTCCCAACAAAACAATCACCAAAGACAATATAGACTCCGCATACCGTTAAACCACCAGTACCTCCGTCTAAGCACTCCTCAGGCAGCAGCCTCTTGCTCATAATTCCCGGCAAGAACCGCACAGCCGGCCATGGGTTCATTAGTCCCATGCGGTGAATATACCGTAAATCATGAGGGAGTTAAGAAAAGGGGAATGCATCAGCATACAGAAGACCATCACAATGAACTTACTCTGGTGTTGTATTGACATCATCGCCGTCTCCCTTATCCTTCTTTTTGTGACCCTTCTCACTTAACAAGGGAGCCTTCTCCACCTTCCCTGCTGGCTTAGAGTCCTTTTGTGCACCATTTTTATCGGCTGACTTCTTATTTGTCGATTGCGTCTGCTTTGCTTTATCTGATGGCGATACCCTCTTCTCACCCTGGGCCTTGCCCTTCTCACCTGCTTCCCCTGCCTTCTGCCTCGGTTCAACTGCAACCTCCTCTACATCGGTGGCCTTATCTGATGACTTTGCCTTCTTTTTTTCCAACTTAGCCCCCTTTGTGGGTGTTTTTGACGCCTTAACTGTCGATTCACCCCCTCCTTTCTGTGATACACTCTTGGGCTTTTCCACCTGTTTCTTCTTCACCTGTTGTGCCGACTTCTCTCCTTCGCCTCCTGGCTTCTTCGCCTTCTCCTTTCCATTCTCTGCCACGGCGCCGGCAGACGCTTTGTCAGCAGGCTTGCTGGTCGACTTCTCTTCGGACTTTTTGTCCTTCTTCAAGGGCTTCTGTGAAAGCTCAGCAGGCGATTTCTGGACATCGGCCATCGGTTTCTTCCTCTTCTCCCCTCCTTGCTTCTCTTTCTCGCCAGTCTTTTGGCGTTTCTGTGCATGGTTCTGCACTGCCACATCCTTTGTGCCCTTCTCTCCAGCTTTACCATTTCCAGCATCTTTCTCCTTATCTTTTCGTTTCTCTCCCTTCTTCACCTTTTGCTCCACCGTCTTCTCCTTTCCCTTGCCAGTGCTCTTCTTCAGCCCCCCCTTATTCACAGGCTTTGCTTCTTCCTTTGCTCCTGCCTTGCCTGAGCCCTTAGGCTGAGCTTTAACCGCGACTGCATCTTCTGCTGCCACATTCTCCTCTACCTTCTGCTCCCTATCCGTCCCATCCCCATCCTCTCCATCATTCTCCTCTATCACGACAACTTCCTCGACCATTGCCGTTTTCCCCGACTCCTTTTTCTCCTCTACTGCTACTTCACCCACTACCTTGGGTGTTTCCTTTCCCACTTCTTGTGTTGCTTGACTTTGCTTCTCTGACTCTGATTTCTCGGGATTATCTTTTCCTTTCCCCTTATTCTTCCCTCTCGTCCGAGGGATTGTGAACGACAGGCTGCCGAATTGATTTAAACACTCGGTGAGCCTTGCTGACTCTTTCCTCTTCCTTTTCCCAAGCGGCATCTCAATGGAGGACGTTGGGGCCATCAAACTCGACCCTTGCCCCACAGATTGCAGAGTGGGCTTAAGCTCCAACCACTCCAGCTCTTCTTCATCCCCATCTTCGTATATAACCTGCACACACGGCCGGCAGTGAGCGGAGGTACCCCTGCACTTGTCATTGTAAAATACTCAAGCAGCAATGATGTCATCATCATCCACTGCTTCAATAAGAGAATGAGAAAAAAAACGCAATAGAAAATACGGAAAAAAAAAAAAAAAAAAAAAAAAACAGAATTAGGATCATAAACAACCAGCGCACACAGCAGGTAATCAGAGGAGATAAGCCTCTGCACTTGTCATTGTGAAAAACGGAAGCATCCAAAAAAAAAACACAAAAAAAAAACAAACACAGAAGCAGCCCTGATGTCATATATCCATACACGGCTTCAATAACAGAATTGGAAATAGCTGCTCTGCTTCCAAACAGCAAGAAAGCAGCTTTGGGCGCATCGTGGAGGGGGAAGAAGGCGTTGCGTAACATCTTGTCCACAACAACCCCTTGCACGAAATTGGCAAACCAAAAAATTCAAAAACTGCATTTTGCCGAGCCTGAAATCTACACTGCAGTCATCAACCAGCCGAGCTAAGCCGAGCTAAGTTGGTACACCACTGAACTGTTGAAATAGTTACCTGAAATCGAACGCCACTGGAAGTAGATGCATAAAAATAAAGTACTGTGATTCTGAATTACCTAGAGACGACCAGTTCAAATGATGAGATCTCATGGCCGTTGTCCTTTTTGTAGCTTTTTTTAAAAATAAAAGCTGTCTTCTCCTCATATGGGGGACAGCTTGTATTGAGGGGATAGTTAGTCTGGGGTAGACTAGGAAGATCGATAGGTTGCAAGTTTGCAACCCATAACCCTTAGTGTAGCTTACCTCCTCCCAGTAGATTAACTAGACTAGGAGGCCAAATAGTTTACAACCCTACTAAGCACTATGGCCCTAAAAGCCCTATCACTACCGAGCGCGAGTTTGGCGGATAGTACGGTGGAAGCAAGGTCACAAGTGGTGGAGGTTTAGCTAGAGCAAGGCAATAAAATATTGAGAGAAGAGAATGATTCTACTGAATACAAAAAGCCATTGTCCCTTTTTTAAGTTTTTTTTTTAAAAAGAAGGAAAATCCACAGTGCAGGCCATTGTTTTCTTCAGGCCGTTGGCCCTTTCCCACCGAAACCTCCACCGGGCCAAGGCACTGTAGATCTTGCTCCGGTGCTGGTATACGAGCAGAATCTACAACGCCGCCTGTGGATGGACTGGTGGCCTAAAGTTTAAAGTTTAAACACGTATAACCTGGCGGCCTCGGATTTTTCTCCTTTGCGTTGCGACTTGGGTGTTTGCCTATGTGTAGTGTTCATACTCCGCATCATGTTCTGTGCATTTTAGCACTGTCACTATGATATCTGATACATACTTGTGGCACACTTCTGCGGTGCGCCATGCGCCATGCGCTAATTAGTGATGTGCTCTTTTTCTTTTCCTTTTTTTTTTTTTAAATTTTAGGTGTGTGTGTACAGGGGGGGGAGAGAGAGAGAGAGAGAGAGAGAGAGAGAGAGAGAGAGAGAGAGAGAGAGAGAGAGAGAGAGAGAGCAAAGGACCCCTTCTGCATACATCAGAGGGACCCTGCAGGTAATGTGAAGGGTCTTCGCAGAAATAGCATAGACCCTCTACAAAATTGAGGCAGGCGTTGAGTATGAAGCGGAGCAGGAGCTGGCCGAATATATACTCTAGATTTGAATTCAGGTCTGTGTTTCATCAGTTATGGGTTGCCCACTTAGCTCTCTGCACGTGATTCTCAGAGCTTGGCTGCACTACTCACCAAATGTGCAAAATTAGAATGAATCTTCTGCTAGAACACGGAACCATACGCTGCCATATGTTTTGTCTTTTTGGTGCTAGTAGAGTCCCTTAGGGCCATTGCACATATTCCTAAGAAAAAGAAAACGAAAAACAAAGAGTCATGTCCAGAGAGCAACAGGTGACATATAACCGCAGATACACAGACCTGAATTCGAATCCAGACTATATATTCTTGGCCCACTCAAGCAAACCTCGAAGCCTAACGCCCATCTCTGCTTCGCGATGGGTTCTTACTGAATCACTGTAGGGGTCCTTCTGAAAAGAGACTGGACACAAATAGGACATGCACACCCACACGCACACACGTACACACAGTTTTGGGGTATGATGTGGCCCCAACATTTTTTCCTCTTGCAGTTTGATTTTTAGAAGCAAGGGGCATGTTTTGCTAACCCACCTTGTCCTATCGGATTTCTTTTTTATTTTTTTTTTGTGATGCGTCCCATCACGTGCGTGCGCATGCATGCACGTGCGCTCTGCGCCGCAGGTGCCGCGACCTCGCGCACAGGATTCGCTGCAAGTATGCTGATATCTACACCCAAATGCATAGATATTATATTTAGAACAGGCCTAGCATGTGGTATTACGAAAGTGAAAAAGACAAAAAGGGATTATGATGTTTTGGTGAAGAAGCCGTTTCACTGTTGTACTCTGAATAGGGCGAGGCTGCCACATTGAGTGCAGGCAAGGTTACACAGTCTCTGCGGCCAGAGTCATCGCGACACTCCAAGCCCAGGCCGTCCCTACACAAGGGACACGCCAGGAGAGAATGGTGTACAATACTACAAAATAAATTCATCCAGTCTTGAACGCGTACATACCTTGTACCATTTGTGCTCCTCATCGAAGCTCATAACCTCCCCAACAAACGTCCTCCGACCGAACTTTTTACTCGTCTTCCTTCCTATCAACTTCTGCCCGCCGCCAAATTCCCCCTCCTCTGCGTCGGCGGTGCTCTCACCCCTTCTATCGCTTCCTTTCTCTACTGTGTCACTCTGTTCTGCATCGTGAGCCGCCGCCCCACCCTCTTTCTGTCGTTCTAACGCCGCTGCCTGTTTTCTCACCTCCTCCTTTTCTACACACCCTTCGCCAACGCCCTTCCCAATCTCCTTCTCTTTCACCCCACTACCTTGCCTCCCTTGACTACCATCATCAAGGCTTGTCGCCGCTACACTTCCCTCCCCTTTGTCTCGTTCGCCAGCTACGCCTCCCACAGCCATCGCTTGTGGATCTCTTATACCTTCTCCTGCATCCTGTAGAACAAAAGGACAGAGCGAAACGATAGATGCGACAGTTAAGAATCAACCACATGCAGCTACCTGTAACACTGAAGAGAAAACGAAAAGGGCGACAGACGTGAGATATGATCATTGAACCGACTGGGCCCAGGTGATTCGGAATCATTTCATTCTGTTCATCTGATTGCATCTGGATTCGAACTCGGGTCCATATGTCAACAGTTCATGGGTGTACCAACTGAGCTAGGCCCGCTGGTTAACACTAAACTCCTTGAGGCCAAAAAAAAAACAAAAAAAAAACAGGTCCTTATGATCCTGGCTCCATGTCCATTCCGGGGAGCGTCAGTCGGGTTCCTATTCCACCAGCATGTCAGAATTAAACATTACATCATATACACCCTCACGCTTCCTTCCGTCTGGCCTAAGGATCCCTGACCAGCATTGATTGCTCCAATACCGGAGGATTGACTGTCAGCTTGCCTTTCATCTACCTTTCCTCTCAGGTCCACTTGTCTGAGAAGCTAAGGCGACTTGCAATCTGAGAATTTTGCCAAATTTGCCGGAAGACCAAGAAACTTGAAGAAAGATAAGAAGCTAAGGCAACTTGCAATCTGATAAATTTTGCCCTTGACTACTATGTAGCTTGTGGCGGGACCTCTTAAGCCTTTTTTTTTTTTTTTTTTAACACACCAGCCCCTTCTACTCCGGCGGGCATCAGTACGGTTACTTATTACCGGCAAGCATGAGTTCAGAATGGACTCGACGGAAGAAAAATGAAGAGGGGTCAGCCCAGCCCTTGCAGTACAAGTCACCTACTCAAGGGGGGGACTGCTACAAGTCAACCCCCCTCCAAACCATAGCCTTCCTAGGGGCCATCTGATGGCTGGGAAGTTTACTAGCAGCACCTAGTCAGGCATCAAGTGGGCCTTAGGGGAGGGCAAGGCGCGGGGGAGGCCCTCATAGCAGCCTCTCAGACCGCAAGTCTCAAGTCTAGTCGTACCCATTCAATTTCTTCTTTTTCTTTTTCTTTTTCTTTTTCTTTTTCTTTTTCTGGTGCAGAGCCTTCCATCTTCTGATGAGATTTAAAATCACCTACATTCGCCCCCGGAGACACACCCCACAGCCTTTTTCAGCTATAGGCCTTTGCACCAAAGACCCAATGGCCACAGACTCCGTATATCTGTAGGGGCTGGCCTGAGTTTTCGGACGGTGCTACTGGTAATTTAAGGTCATCTTTTCACAGAGAGCAGTAACTTAAGGTCAGGCTCTAGTGCTATGTTCATGACAACAAAGTGTGAACATGACAATGATCATGACCAGGTTAGTGCTTTCCAGACACAATCGCGCTAAGACATTCCTGGATGACATATGGGCTTCATTCAGAGGGAAAATTACAGGTGCCAGTGTGGCCAAGTTCCTCTATTTACCAAGAGCAGTAACATAAGGTCAGGCCTGAGTGCTATGGTTATGCTTACAAAGCACGAACACAACCATAATGATGACCAGATTCATGCTTTCCGAGCATGAACATGGCACCAGTGGGGCCGGAGTCAGTGGGGAAATGACTAATGCCAGTGTGCCCTGCCCGCCTCTCAAAACTGACGAAAGTTAAAAATCATAAAAGCACACCCGTTGCACATCTTGCGCGATTCCGATGGCGATTCTAAAAAGCTATACCACCAGTACTTCCAAGGCACTTTTCTCCGACCCTCGAAATGCCCTGGGAGCCAAAAGTAAAACCGAACCAGCGCGGCCTCCTTTTGGCTGGAAGCGCCAGCCATTTTGCTCCGGAGGATGAGCCCCAAAACTTGCGGCGCATGCCGAAAACGCCCCGCGGCCGATGTATGGGCCAAGCACTGGTGGTTTAAACAGCGGCTCAAGGTCCAACTTTGACTGACTGAATAGAAACTGCAAACAAACAAGACTACAAGGATATGGTTGTATGACAAGTCTAGCCAGTTCAGTTGCGCACGCACGCACTTTGAGAGTAAACTACATTCCGGATCTCTGGCGCAAGCAGTTTGTCTCTTCTTAAAAGGAGGTAGGCCCTAAGCTGATCGTATCCAACAACATTTGAACTACGGATCTGTTTGTTAACAGTTATATGTGTGTACCATTCAGCCACATGGAGCGAGCAGTTCGTAGTAAACTGTACCCTTATATCGGGAGCTAACATTTTTGCGACCCGACACATCGGTGAACCTATGCGCAAAGCACACAGGATCCCGAGTCTAAAGAAAGTATTGCCCAGAAACGTTCAGATAAAATGCAGCAGAGATGTCAAACTTCCAAATGAACGAACAGAAGAAGATATTTGAAGAAGTGTGCGGCGGATAATTATGAATGAGAACACAGACTTACCCGTAGATGTAATGACTTTCTGACTTTGCGAGATATAATGGATATTTTCAAGTGCGTACTTGTGTGAATGTAATGACTTTGCGAGATTGGTTGTGGTTTCTGACTGTGTGAGCTCACAGTGTTACCCGTAGATAGTGAGATTTCAATGCTAGATGTCGAAGAAGTCAATTCTCAATTCTTGGAATGTTTGAGGACACTGGTCGCTTCATAAGCTCTCTCTCTCTCTCTCTCTCTCTCTCTCTCTCTCTCTCTCTCTC